CTATCATGAAGCTGGGGAAGCTTGATAAAACTGTAGAAGAAGATGAACGAAAGAGCGCACAAACCTTGCGCATTACCTCAATAAATAGTGACTAATTTTATTATTAAGGAAAATATACTCACAAAGTGATGGTATAACAGGCATAAGTAACCATAATCCTAACAGGGGTTACAGGTAAATCCAAAAGGGGGGGGAATGAAGGCTAACGCATTTCGAAGGGTGCTCCCTTCTTCATCAGAGCTGGGTTGAGCAGATAGAGACTTCAGTATGGCAGAGTTCCCATGGCAAGGAGATATTCAGCCACTGAGTGTCAGTATTACAGCAGTTGTTTAGTCACTAGTGACTAAACAGGCTGAACTGCTGTAATACTGACAGATAGCTGTATCTATCTTTTCAGTCCACTCTTCCTTTCTCCAGCTACCCCCTCAGCACATTGGGTGCTAAGGGGGCAACTGTCCAGGCTCACTCCTGAGTGGGGCTGTGTGCATCCTAAGCCACACACAGCTCTGGTAGACCATACCCACACTCTCTCCTTAAGGGAGTTTGACTGACAGCAATAGGAACCTATGACACCCACTGCCATCAGTGTCTCCTGCGAGACCAGCAAGAGAGGAGAACAATGATGAAGTACAACACTGGATCAGTGACTCAGTTGGGTAAGTGTTTAGGGATAGGGTTGGGTAGAATTAGTAGTGGGTTTTTTTACCTTAAAGTGTTACTAAAAGGAAAACTTTTTTTTTTATATTGGATAGAATAAGGGAGGGTTATAACCCCTGACAGTTTTTTTTCCATTTGTGTCCAACTTCAGCAATTTTTCTTTACTTCTGGTACCATAGCCAATACAGGAAGTGAGGGAAAATCCCTCTGTAGCACTACCATCTTGAGGGCCACTGTGTTTTTAGGTCACCCTAAGCTCCGAAAAGCAAGGCAACACACATTTTACACACTTGCATCCAATGTCAGTGGACAATCCATGAGCCTGTTTTTTTTTTGTTAATTTATTAGGTGAAATAATTTGGACAGGGTAATAGGGATTATGCGGTGCCCAACTTAACAGAATCAATGCACAGGGACAATTTCCTTTCTATTTACAGATCCTGGACCATTATTTTCCTTGAAAGCTGTCAGTCTTTGTGGATTAGTAGTAATTGCCCCTTACAGGTGAGGGACACGCAGCCCCTTTGAAAGTTAGTTCAGCTTGTTGCAAACTACGTACAGAGATGTCTCCTCTCCCCTGTAGAACTTCTCTCAGCTCCACAGCTCACAGACACTAGCAGCCCTCCTGGCTGCTCTGAAGATCTCCCTGGATAAGGATAAAGGATTGAGTGCAGCGTTGTCCTTTGAATGGTTGCTACATGTGGCAGTCTCTCTCCTTGTAAATCCCTGAGTGTGCTGATGTACTCACTCTGTCCTCCTTACACCCACTGCTCCCAGGTCTTGACCTTGTTCACGCCGTACTGCTTGAAGGCCAGCCCCCCTAGACCTAGGAGACCCTTCCCAGGCAACCGACAGTCTCTTCAGCACTCCATCTTCCACCCAACTCCCCTGCCAGCCTGACTATCCCATTATGGTTTGGTCTCACCCCTCTACCAGGGCCTCCAAATCTGGGATTGATTAGAATCCCATAAACATGGGAGTTGGGTCTCCACCCCTTCCTCCCACTGGCTTATGGCAGGTTTTATTGTCCTCCAGAGCCAGGTGGAGGTGATAGAGTCCCAACCTGTTTAAGTCATCCAGCCTGACCTGCAGTAACCCGACCCAATTACAGACTCACACAGTTACCATGTGTCATACACAATAAATTTGCCTACACTATTATAGTAGCACACTGGAGGGTGCGACACCTCCAAGGTGAGGTAGTCCCAGGGTGTCACTAGGGTCATCATAACTAATGTCCCCACTGGAAGATTTCCTCTCTATCTCTCTATTCCTGTTCTGATGTCAACCCAAAATTTGGGATTTTCTTTTACTTTCAGTTTCGATGATAATGGCAAACAGGAAAAATATAGAGGGTGAACCTCCCTAATGGAGACACAAACAGCAGTGTTCTAATACCTCTCCACGCTTTGAGTTTAGAACCACTTTAATGTTCTTGGAAAAACAACAGGCATTCTAAAAAGGACAACAGCTGTTCGAAGTTGAATCCCTGTAAGATTTCTATGGTTCAAATGATGCTTTTCTTATCAATTTGTACTTCATCTTTATAGAATGTCATAAATAAAGTTTCATATACACTTCCTTTACAAATAATTTTTTTCACAAAAATGTCTATTTGTATCAATGTATCCTGTTAAACCTACTACAGTTGTGACCAAAATTATTCAACCCCCAATGCTGTAAAGGGGTTTAGGGACTATAGTGTACATTTGGAATTGTATTCAGAATAAATGACTGGGAATTTTAATTTCAAGGAACGTTTTATCTTTTATCTTTTCTGCAACTAAAATGACATCAATTGTTTACTGTAATACAGTAGTAAATGGTTCTTATGTGGTTTCTTCATTGCCACAATTATTCAACCCCTTAAAGACTACCACTCTGAAGAACAGAGGTTCATACAGGTGCTTTCCATCAGGTATTAAAAACACCTGTGGATGTCACCGAGCAGCAATCAAGCATAATAAGCAATACCAATTAGGCAGCTTTAAAAATGACTGTGTTACTCAGCTCCTTCTAGACTTTACTGGTGTGGTTACAAACATGGTGAAGGCAAGAGAATGGTCCAGGAAGACAAGAGAAGAGGTGATGATTCTCTTCACAGGAAGGGCAATGGCTATAAGAAGATTGCAAAGATGTTAAACATACCAAAGAGACACCTTAGGAAGCATCATTCGCAAATTCAAGGCAAAGGGCACTGTTGAAACGCTACCTGGTCGTGGCAGAAAGAAGAGCTGACTTCTCTTGTCTGCTGCGTGCGCTACCTGAAGCGTAGAGTGTGAGAGAAGTCCCGTTGTGACTGCTGAGGAACTGAGAAAAGATTTGTCAGATGTGGGTACAGAAGTTTCAGCCCAGACAATAAGACGCACACTGCGTAATGAAGGCCTCCGTGCCAGAACTCCCAGGCGTACCCCCTTGCTGTCTCCCAAAGAATAAGAAGAGTCGACTGCAGTATGCCAAAAGCCATGTGGACAAACCACAAAAGTTGTGGGATAGTGTTCTGTGGACTGATGAAACAAAATTAGAACTGTTTGGGCCCATGGATCAACGCTATGTTTGGAGGAGGAAAGAACAAGGCCTTGATGATGAAAAGAACACCTTGCCTACTGTGAAGCATGGTGGAGGGTCAATCATGCTTTGGGGCTGTTTTGCTTCTGCAGGTACAGGGAAGCTTCAGCAGTCATCAAGGTACCATGAATTCTCTTCAGTACCAGGAGATATTGGATGGAAACGTGATGCAGTCCGTCACACACCTGAGGCTTGGGAGACGTTGGACCTTTCAACAGGACAATGATCCCAAGCATACCTCCAAGTCCACTAGAGCATGGTTGCAGAGGAAAGGCTGGAACATTTTGGAGTGGCCATCGCAGTCACCAGACTTAAATCCGATTGAGAACCCTCTGGTGGGACTTAAAGAAAAGCAGTTGCAGTGCGCAAGCCTAAGAATGTGACTGAACTGGAGGCCTTTGCCCATGAAGAATGGGCGAAGATACCCGTAGATCGCTGCAAGACACTTGTGTCAAGCTATGCTTCACGTTTACAAAAGCTGTTATAACTGTAAAAGGATGCTGTACTAAGTACTAAAAATTTTGAATGTCACTTGGGGGTTGAATAAAATGATAATGCTGTGATTAAGCACAGAAAAGACATTTGTTATTTCATTATAACTGTTATGTTATATTTGTCTGACCTACAAGTGCCTCTTTAATGTAAATGTAAGCAAGATGACTGAATGATCAAAAGCAATGTCAAACTGGCCAAAACACTCAATTTCAGTGGGGGTTGAATAATTTTGGTCACAACTGTAGTTGATAAGAATTTGATCAGGAAATCACTTTATGTCTGTGAATGCACTATGACCTCTGAAGACACCTCAAGAATGACCATTCTTAGGGAATATGTTGATGACTGGGAATTTTAATTTTTCAGGAACATTTATCTTTTATCTTTTCTTCAGTGTAAGGTTGGCACAAGGAGTGTCTTCTCACTTCAAAAACAGGTAAATCAAATGTGCATGTTAATGGGATTATGTTTTATAGTTAGCATTCCTTAGCAATTAGATCTTCAAACTGCCATCTCCTATCTATGGTGAGCCACGCTATTTAAAGTGCATACATTTTTATTAAGTAATCAGTAGAATGTCCTGAGGTCAACAGAAAAAAGTAATACCAGGGTATGTAGATCATTTAAGAAACTCAGCTTTGTTAATTCAAATTGAAGCTGTCTTCTTTTCATTTAAAGAAAGCATCTATCTAAATCCATTTCCAGTTAGATCACATGATGAGGCATGATGCTGATATACTAATAGATCTTTCTTGTTTGCCCTCATCCAAAACATAATTTAAGTCTAATTGAACCGAACAATAAAATCTCATAATATCGTCATGTTAATCTAATTGTAATCCTTTTTAACCACTTTAATACCGTGCTATAGCTGGAAAATGGCTGCAGCCTGGTTCTCTTGTTCTGGGAGGGCGTCTATAGACATCTTCCCAGAACTCAGGCCTCTGTGACTGCTGTGTCCTTTGGACACAGCTGATTACAGATCATTGCACAAGATTAATCACAGCAGCTCTTTAGTTTGTGATCAGCTGTGTCCAATCACAGCTAATCACATGTAAACAGACTTGCTGTTAGCCACCTCCCGTCCGCCATATGGTAATATGACGGGCGCAAGGTGGTTCTCTCGTTCTGGGAGGATGTCATATGACGTCCTCCCATTTTCACTGCGCATGCGCGACTCAGGGAGCGCACAGCGCGGCAATCGGCAGTGCTCTGTGTCCCTCGGACACAGTGGATCACCGATCACGAAAAGAGCCGAAGATGTCGGCTCGGTCATGTGATCAGCTGTGTCCAATCACAGCTGATCATATGTAAACAGGGAAATGCCAGTTATCGGCATTTCTCTCCTCTTGAGCTGTCACATTGACAGAGGAGAGGAGAGCTGGTAATCGGCTTTCCACGGGGACATGTACACAGATCATCAGGGCACTGATGATCAGTGTGCCCTGATGATCAGTGTAGCCCCAGCAGTGCCCACCTGTCAGTGTCCATTAGTACCAGTGGCCATCAGTGCCACATATCAGTACACACCAGTGCACATCAATGCCACATATCAGTGCCCATCTGAGCTGCCTTTTAGTGTCTCCCATCAATGCCAATCAGTGCCACCTATCAGTGCTGCCAATCAGTGCCGCCTATCAGTGCGCATCAGTGCCGCCTATCAGTGCTGCCTTTCAGTGCCAATCAGTGATGCCTGTCAATACACATCAGTGCCACCTACCAGTGCCTCCTCATCAGTGCCTCCTATCAGTGTCCATCAGTGCACCCTCATTAGCGCACATCAGTGTAGGAGAAAAATCACTTATTTACAAAATTTTATAACAAAAACTAAGAAAAAACATTATTTTTAAAAATTTTCAGTGGTTTTTGGTTTGTTTACGAAAAAATAAAAAACCCAGAGGTGATTAAATACCACCAAAATAAAGCTCTATCTGTCACAAAAAAATGATCAAAATTTCATATGGGTACAGTGTTACATGACCGCGCAATTGTCATTCAAAGTGCGACAGTGCTGAAAACTGGAAATTGGCCTGGACAGGAAGGGGGTATAAGTGCCCTGTAGGCAAGTGGATAATCTGCAATCTCTTCCTCACACACCATGTCTGTGTGAGGAGGAGACAGCTAATACCCAGCAAGGCTGGCAGCAATTTGTTTTGTCAGTGCAGCCCCTATCAGTGCAGCTTATCAGTGCCAATCAGTGCAGCCTATTAGTGACACATATCAGGGCCCATCAGTACAACCTCATCAGTGTCCAACAGTGCAGCCTCATTAGTGCCCATCAGTACAGCCTCATCAGTGCCACCTCAGCAGTCCTCATCAGTGCAGCTTCATCAGTTCACATCAGTGCAGCCTCATCAGTGCCCATTAGTGCAGCCTCATCAGTACAGCCTCATCAGCGCACATCAGTGAAAAAGAAAAATTATTCATTTGCAATATTTTATAACAGGAATGAATAAAAAAAATTTTTTTTCCACAAATTTTTAGTCTTTTTTTTGTTTCTTCAAATATAAAACCCAGTGGTGATTAAGTACCACCAAAAGAAAGTTCTGTCTAAAAAAAGATAAGAATTTCATATGGATTACAGTGTTGCATGACCGCACAATTGTCATTCAAAGTGCAACGGAGCTGAAAGCTGAAAATTGGCCTAGGCAGGAAGGAGGTGGAAGTGCCCAGTATTGGAGTGGTTAAAGGACAGCTACACTTTTGTCTATGGCCTGGCCAGCACTGTTGACAACAGAAGTCTGTGCTGAACCTGACAGGGCTGTATAGTGAAGATCTCCAGGACGGGGCTGAAGGTAAGTATTTAACACTGCTGGCTATTCTTTGGAGAAGGGGGTGATAATAAAGGAGAATCTCGCTAAAATTAAATTAAAACTGCATCTTTAATTAAATCAGTATCTGATTCAGGAATTAAGGGTTTAAAGGAGGGGGTGTCAAACTGACGGTCCTCCAGCTGTTGCGAAACAACAAGTCCTATTATGCCTCTGCCTTTGGGAGTCATGCTTGTAACTGTCAATTTTGCAATACCTCACGGGACTTGTAGTTTGGCAACAGCTGGAGGGCCACCAGTTTGACACCTGTGCTTTAAAGGATCAGATGCAAGAACTATTAACCCATTTTGAGAAATAGTCTCTCACCTCCCAGACCAGTGGTATGGGGACATACACACAAATTCTGACCCTTTTACTATTTGACAAAATATGGTACAGTATGAAGCTACAGTTGAATTGTGAAGGGTATGCACAGTACACCCCAATATGGCATAATTTAAATAATTTATAGGGAACACCACAAATGGACAGGATTTTAATTATGGCATTCACGGTAAGTTAAATATATTTACCAATTATATGAATGTAGCACTACCCCCTTAGGAGTCACTCTGCACAGCCAGGCAATACACATATTCTTCCACACTGCACACAGGAATCATGAGTCATTTAACAGTCCTTGACCTTGGTTTTTGTGATTTTATTAAGCGGTTTAAAACTTGGATAAGGTCTACGGGTATATGGGGTGCCCAAGAAACTGCAGAACTTTGAGGACACACTCCTTAGCAACTATGTACAGAAAGGAGGATTTATCAACAGTCTCTCCTTTGAGAGAACAAAAGGTTCTGTGGTGTACCTACTCAGACCCAAGATGGATCCTCCTTTTCACAGGGCTACCTGAGGGTATCCCTGGACAAGGGGGCCCAGAAGCTGACAAATTAAAACAAGCAGTCCCATTGTTCTGCTCTGCCCCTGCGTGGGCGTATCTTGAGCCTGTTGTATTCTTAAAAAAAAAACGTTCTTAATAAAAATATTGAAACAGAAAACAAGCAGTCCCAGATGAGAAGCTATTTGGGTTTTCCACCTGGCCGTAGACTCCCCTTATCTGGCCCAGGGGGGTGTAAGAGTACTCACACTGTCCTCTCCTGTAAGCCTAATGGGCTGGTGGCAGCCTTCAGGCCTTTCACTGGGCTGGGTCCTTCCCTGCTGTACAAGCTGTCCTTCCATGGAGACGTTGAAGCAGGGGACATCCTCCCGTCCACCCCCAGCCTGTTGATAGGCCCCCTCCTTTCCAGGGCCCCCTCCTAGGCTCCACACTCCAATCTTCCTCGGTCCATCTTCCACCCAACACTGACTAGGCTTCCAAGCTCGCTCAAATTTGAGGGTTGCCCTGGTCACGATGCCCAGCCTCCTGCTAGGGATTTGGCCATGGTCCTTCAAACATGCAGATCTGCACCCCTCCTCCAAAAAGCTCTCAGGTTTCTGGAGAGGTGGGATGGCTCCAGAAGCCCTGATCTGTTAGAGTCTCCTGCCTGTCCTGAGTTAACCTCTCTATCTCACTCCCAGGCTGACTCATTGCAGGCTGCTACTCAGCCTCTGCCTAAAAAAGAAAAAAAAACAGCCTATCTGGTTAACCTAAAGGGTAAATAAAAGTAATAAAATTACTTCAAAACATGTCAAACACTCCATGATGTGTTTGACCTCCCTCAAAATAGGTTCTTCCAGTACTTACAATTAAGGCATGCCATCCACATACAAACTCATATTCACAATATGCTTTTACAGCATTTCCCAGCAATGACAACACGGGTACAGAAAGAACCTAAAAAGGGCTCGCCTTGCAAATATAGAATGCTGCACAGTAAACTACAATTATGGACTAGGGCAGTGGTGGGCAACCTTTTTTTTCAACTGAGCCAAATCTCGCCAAAACCACAATTGAAATTTATTTTGAGAGCCACATTTTTAAAACTGAAAATACATAGGATGGTACACTGTTTTTAGTTTCAATAAGTTTTTATAGTAATTCATCCCCCATAGTAATTCATCCCCCATATAGTAATTCATCCCCCATATAGTAATTCCCCCATATAGTAATTCATCCCCCCATAGTAATTCATCCCCCATATAGTAATTCATCCCCCATATAGTAATTCATCCCCCATAGTAATTCATCCCCCATATAGTAATTCATCCCCCATATAGTAATTAATCCCCCATATAGTAATTCATCCCCCATATAGTAATTCATCCCCCATATAGTAATTCATCCCCCATATAGTAATTCATCCCCCCTATAGTAATTCATCCCCCATAGTAATTCATCCCCCATATAGTAATTCATCCCCCATAGTAATTCATCCCCCCTATAGTAATTCATCCCCCATATTAATTCATCCCTCATATAGTAGTAGTAAAGTAAGTAGCAAGTAGTAAGCCAAGTCCCCCCTGTGTCAATTCACTTACCTTTGCTCCGCGCGTTCCTCTCGCTGTGTTCCCGCGCCGTTCCGATCTTCAGGGCGGACTGTGAGAGGAGCCTAGCTCCTCTCACGTTCGTCACGCTGCCCCGCCTACACACATCCTGACAGCCAATCACTGGCTATCAGGATGTGAGTGGCAGCGAGACTAGCCAATCATTGCATTTGAGCGCGCTGCCCTGGCTGTTTTTTTTTTGGATCACGCTGCAGAGTCCCTGCCGCCCGAGAGGAGGGAGGGGAGCGGGCGCCCGGCACACAAGAGCCGCATTAAAGCGTTTAAAGAGCCGCATGTGGCTCGTGAGCCCGCGGCTTGCCGACCACTGGACTAGGGTACCTGCCAAAGTGGACTGGGAGGCGGATTTGGGTCCCATATCAGAGGAAATCAGAGAGAAAGCACTGTTTACACTTAATCTCATCCCTGTCTGTCCCACAAACAGGCTTGCACAGCTCTTTATATTGCACAGAACATATACTCCCGAAAAGCTGTTCCAGTGGAATCGTAGGGACACCCCATATCACCCTAAATCTAACCAAGCTTTGATAATAAAACCTAGATGTTGCTTGGTTACTATTCACAGCTGCACCAGACTATGTGTGCACCAGTTTTAGTAAATCTCCCCATAGTGTCCTGTGAGGTGTGCTGTGAAAAAGTGCAGCCTGCCCAATTTTTCATATGTTGAAGTGTATAGCAGCATGCTGCATTGTTTGCTGTGAATAGGCCCATAGGGAACATTATTTAGTGCTATATTTTAAATAATTGCAGTGAATCCAATGGCCTGGCAAAAAATAAAACAAATTGACCATAATTTTAAGGCTACATTCCAGGACTGGATCTAGCCAGTCTGATATGGGGGTGCAGTAAAAAATGTCAGGGGGGCAGGGGATGGGAAGTCAGTAGAACAGTGTACAGATACAGGAATGAGGAATGTACAGTTGGTTAGCAAGGCAACACTGGTTGAACAAAAAAAAAAAAAACTGATGTATGGGCTGAGCATTCTTTAACCGTTTCAATACCGTGCAATTTTACACCTTCCTGCCCAGGCCATTTTTCAGGTTTCAGCGCTCTCACACTTTGAATGACAATTGCGCGGTCATACAACACTGTACCCAAACTAAAATTTTATAATTTTCTTCACACAACTAGAGCTTTCTTTTGGTGGTATTTAATCACCGCTGGGGTTTTTATTTTTTGCTAAATTAACAAAAAAAAGACCAAAAAGTTTGGAAAAAAACACATTTTTCTTTGTTTCTGTTATAAAAGTTTACAAATAAATAATTGTTCTTCATAAATTTAGGCCGAGATGTATTCTGCTACATGTCTTTGGTGAAAATAACCCAAATTAGGATGTATTTTTTAGTTTGTAGGAAAGTTATAGAGTTCACAAACTATGGTATAGATCTGAATATTGATCAATCCTGAAGTACTGACAGCCAATCTAATTTCTTGAGGTCCAAGAATGTCAGAATAGT